GACCGCTTAGTTTTTATACCATGGTAAGAAAAGAAATTATTATTATCAATTGGGAAAGGGTTTTTCCTAACCTGTTCATCTAATTAAAATTCATATAATTCCCAACCTACATTTTCTTCAAAGGTAAAATCATCTACACCAATTTGGGTTTTGCTTTTTGCTTTTTTATTTCATTTAGAGCAACCAAGAATTTTACTTATATTAATAATAACAGTGATGAGTATAGGTGTGATATTGACAGTGGCAGGAGAAACAAAATTTAATTTGATAGGATTTTTCTTAGTATTGGGTGCAGCAATTATTAGTGGTTTGAGATGGACATTGACACAAATATTGTTGCAGAAAGAGGAAGGAATGAATGATCCAATTTCAACACTTTATTACATCTCACCTGTAATGTTTATCTTGATGTTTATTCTTTCTTTGATGTTTGAAAATCTTTTTTTCATCTCTGGTACTTCTATACATTTTCAAGATTTTACAACTGGCTTACAAACATTTGGTTTAATGTTAACAGGTGGCTTGTTAGCTTTTTGTATGACTGTGGCCGAATTTTCTTTAATCAAAAATACAAGCACTGTCACATTATCTGTAGCTGGTATTAGTAAAGAAGTGCTTATCATCACTCTTTCTGTCATTATCTATCATGATGTAATAACTTCTATAAATTTCTTGGGGTAATTATATTTCTTTTTGCGAATTAAATATAATTTTTTATAAAAATATTTTCTAAAATATTTTTTAATTATCTAGGCTTATAATTTCAATTTCTGGAATAATAGCATATAATTATTACAAAATACGTAAAACAATCAATAAAAATCATTATCAACCATTAACATCAACATCTTCATCAATGAGCAAATAGATTAATAATAATAAATTTTTTTCTATAATATTTATTTAGATCTATTATTATTAAAATGATTAAAAATCGATATTTAATTAATATTTTTAGAATATAGACTAGATGAAATTTCATAGTTTTTTCTTTTTTTTACAGTAATAAATTTCTTATATGTCAATTTTTAATTAATGCTATATAGTAAAATCTTTTTTTTTTAAAACTATTGGAATTCAGAAACATAACTTAATCCAATATCTTTGAATAATTTAGATTTATTGTAAGAAGTTTTGTTTGATTCCTTTGTAAACATTTGTTTTAAGTTGTTATTCTGGGAAGGATAATTTTCTGGCCTAAATTTATTATAATTTAATAAAAATATTAAAAGTATATAAACATAAATATAAATATATTAATTACCATGTTACTGATATTGCTTTCTTGTTAAGAATCATTTCACATGTTGCCCAACTGAAACGTATATTATTTTCTAACCACTTAACTGTATTCGGATCAATTAATCAATATATAAATAAATAAAAAACATCAAAATAAAATAAAATTTAAAACAAAAAAGTTAATAATATTTAACCTGAAGGATACCCTGAACCAAATTTAGTTGAAATAATTGTCTTTTCAATAAATTTCCATTTTTTCAAAATATGATCTCTAGTGACTTTTGCACAAATACTTGCCGCACTAACTATTGGATATTTACTATCTGCTTTTTTTGAAACTGTAATATTTATTGATGGAAAATTACTTGAAAGTTTTTTTTGATATGAATCTGGAGGTCCTACTGTGTCTACATATATCTTTTAAATAAACATTTATTTATTCTATACTGTTTACTAAAAATATTTCAATGTAGAAAAAAAAAATCTTCAAACCTCTGTTAAATTGACACCTTGATCTAAAACCTGTTGTATTAGTTGAATCGTTGTCTCATGTGCCTGTGCATTCAAATTATGTTTATCTAACTTTAACATATTCC